AAGAGTGTGGGTGGAGAGGGGGGGGGGGGGGAGAAATGCATGGAGTCTGTAGCATTAACCAATAAGTTTTTGCTTATTGGTTCATTGGCTACACGATTACATCCCTAGACCCAGCTCAGATGCAACTGAATTGGCAAAAAGCAAGTTTGATGGTTAACACTTCCATTGGGCAGTCCCCTCCCACTATCTGTGGGCAGAGCTGAGTTTCCTGTAAGCAAATATTTGCCTTGTAACACTGCAGGCTTGGAGAGGCCGTGCTCAGTGGGGCCTGTTTAAAGCCATCGAGTTGAAAAATGCAAAGTTAGGGTTCCCATTCTCTGTGCACATCAGAGCTATAGTTAACCCCGACCGCAGTCGTTCCAACTTGCTGCCTCCTATAAAAGCTTTGACTGTCCCCGCGGGCGGAATTTTGTTTCCAAACGTGGCCCCGTCTCACCTTTGGCCGTGACGCTGCATTTTTGTGCGTCTGCGTTTCTATTTCCAGTTCCCAGCAGCGCCACGTTCTGCAGGGCATTTTTTGGTCTCCAAAATTGTAATTAAATCGCTGGCCACAAAGACACCCTCGGCACCACTTAAACCCACAAACACGGGCTTCTTCTGTTTCCTTAAGGAGAATCTGCCCTAGCTCTCAGTACGGTTTTGGGTAGAGAGGGAAAGAACCACCAGCAGAGGAGGATCTCTGGTGCCCCATCGAGTGGGCAACATGATAGGACACATGTCCATTCACCCCAGCCAGCCCTTTCCATTCCTGCAGGGGGCGCTGTTGCACCCGAGCATGCCCACGTCTCTAGGGCAGCAGTGGCAATCGTTTTTGCAGGGCGGGCGGGGGAGCACTACTTCACGAATGTTGGTAGTGGTTACGGTCTGGTTCCGCCCCCAGAAAGGCGTGGCCTCAAGCGGAAGGGGCAGGGCCTTGGTGGAAGGGGCGGTTCCCTCTGGCGATGCGTGCCCCTGGCGGGGAGAGGAGACTGCGTGCTCTCCCCTACCCCCAGGTCCTGATTGGTCTGGTGGAGGAGTGTGGCAAGGTGGGCCAGATAAAATGGCTTGGTGGGCTGGATGCGGCCCACGGGCTGTATCTTGCTCACCCCTGCTCGATGGGCATCCCCACACCACCACCCTACACCATGACAGCAACAGGAGAGCGTTTTACGTTTTTTTCTTCTTTGCAGGAGGGGGAGTCTGAGAAGAAGGACCCATTTGAGGAAAGTGGTCTAAACCTGAGCCCGACTGCGGCCGAGGCCAAAGAGAAAGCGCGCGCCAAGCGGGTGAACAAGAGGGCTCCGCAGATGGACTGGAACAAGAAACGGGAGATTTTCAGCAACTTCTGAGTCCGGCAGGCAGCTCCTCCCATTCTCTCCCTCTCCCCCCTGAAGCAAACGTCTCCAACGTGCACCAGCACCATTCCCAGCTGTCCACTCAAGACGCTTCATGCTCTGCTCTCCATTGGTAGCTTTTTGCAAGGCAAATCTGTCAGAAGTGTCTTTTATGGACAAGTGAATCCAGTAGACAGAAAATGACCAAAGCTCCTCCCCAGCGCGCTCACCCGGCTGTCCCCGGTTCCCACCTTGCTGCTGAGAAAAGACTGGAAAGACTTTTGCTTCTTACTTGGTTTTTTGTTTTTTACTATATTGAGCTCCTCTTGTTGCAGAAGGACGCGTCCGGGTGTAAAACCTCATGCCGAGGGCTCCCAAATGGCCGACTCTCGTTTGTTTCCATTCAAAGTGTTAGTTTGGTTTTTCTAAAAAGAAAAAAAATCTCATTCTGAGCTCCAGTGGTCAGTACTCGCATGGTGGGAGAATGGTCAGTTCTCTTGTTGGCTTCTTCATGGAGTTAGAAGGGTTGGCTGGTTTTTTTCTTTTTGTTTTTGGTGTAAGCCCTCCCTCCCCCCCAATCCTACATCTGTTTCTCGTTAATGCTGGAACCGCTTTCCCCTGGGATCCCTTTAACCAGTGCAATAAAAGCCCTTTTCTCAGCAAACTTCTCCGCCCCTCCCCTCCAAACAAACTCTGAGTGTTGAGAAGATAGTAGGACTTAAAAACCAACCCCTCCATAAAACCTAACCACCCCCGCCTCCGATGTGCATAATAAAATGCAGGGATGACAGGCGTGGTGGGAATACGCTGCCCCCCAACCACGAGAAAGGAAAGTCTGATTCCTGTTAGCACATCCCCATTCAAGAATTCCTGCTCCCTTCTCTCTTGGAAGCCCTGCGAGAAACTCCATGAGACACTGGAAACACGGCTCTTCTGGCGAACTTCAAAGCTGCCCAACCATATGTCTCCATCGCAGGGAACGGAAGACCCTGCTGTGGGAGGTGGTGAATCCTCATGAAACAGGGCTTCAAGCAGGAGCCTCCCAGCGGCCGCTGTTCCACTCAAGCCGCTGGCTTCCGAACCGACCCCCCGAAGT